TGAGACTCTTATCTCCAATAAACCACCAGAAAACCAGAAATGGCCCTATGGCTCAAGTGGTAGCCCTCACCTTGAGCTGAAGAGCAGCACAGGGACAGCACCCAGGCCGAGTTCAAGCCTCACGACTGACAAAGAGAGAGACAGAGAGACCTTGGCCTCATATTGCAACTCTCCTGATCGCAGCCTCAAGTAGCTGAGATCACAGGGCTGAATCGCCGTGCACAGCTGCTTTATTTTTCCTATGGAGCCTTGTGATGTTGCCTGGACCAGCCTGAACCTCAACCACAGGCCCGAGCACACGCTGCCGCTGCACGTGTCCCCATGCCCAGGATGCTTTCTATTGGTTTTTTGGTGTTTTTGTTTTTTGATCTTGGTGGTGGTGGTGGTCGTGGGGCCTGAACTCTGGGCCTGGCGCTGTCCCTCAGCTCTTCAGCTCAAGGCGAGCGCTCTACTGCTTGAGCCACAGCGCCACTTCCCATTCTCTGAGTAGTTCATTGGAGATAAAGAGTCTCAAGGCCTGGCGGTAGTTCACACCTGTCATCCTGGCTACTCAGGAGGCTGAGATCTGGGATCACGGTTCAAAGCCAGCCCGGGCAGTAAAGTCCGTGAGACCCTTATCTCCAATAAAACCACTAGAAAACCAGAAGTGGCGCTGTGGCTCAAGCGGTAGAGCGCTCACCTTAAGCTGAAGAGCTGAGGGACAGCAACCAAGCCCAGAGTTCAAGCCCCACAACTGACCAAAAAAAAAGACTTTCCTGCCTCGGCTGGCTTTGAACCTTGATCCTCAGATCTCAGCCTCCTGAATAGCTAGGATGACAGGCGTGAGCTACCGGAGCCCAACTGTTTTTTGATCTCAGTTCCCTGAGCTGATAAGATTGATCTCCCCTCCTCCATTGCCCAAGTAAATGGGACTCAAGATGTGCTACTTTGGGCCCAGGAAAAAAATCAGTCTGAAGTTTACTGTAGCTCAAGTGGTAGAGCGCTTGCCTTGAGCTGAAGAGCTGAGGGACAGCGCCCAGGCCCAGAGTTCAAGGCCCACGACCAACAACAACAAAGAATTATTCATTTATTTGAGCAGTTGTAGGCTTTCAACTCAGAGCTGTGAGCCTGCTGGGCAGGTGCTCAACCACTTGAGTCATGCCTCTAATCATCTAGTATTTTTTTATTTGGTAGCTATGATAATCGACAGTGATCTTCCATATTCCCTTCCCTCCTCTGTAGTCTTTGTTTTGATTTGGTTGTTGTTAGCGTAGTTGACTGTTTTGTGTCAGTATTGTCAGTATTCTGGGCCTGGAGATTGTCCCTGAGCTATTTTGCTCTATTTTACTCTGCTTGAGCCAAGGCTCCAGTTCAGTTGCTTTTTTGTTTTTGTTTGTTAACTGGAGATAAAGAGTCGCAAGGACTTTTCTGCGTAGGCTGGCTTCAAACCTCAATCCTGGGGTCTCCGCTTTTGAGTGGCTTGAATGACAGGCATGAGCCGCCTGGCCCTGAGACAGGGTCTAAGGCACCCCCCACCCCCAGGCTGGCTTTGATCCTGAGATCCTCCTGCCTCAGCTTCCTGCATAGCTGGGATTATATGCATGACCCACGTTGCCTGGCTTCATTTTCTATTTTGAGATGAGGTACTCAGGTCTTGCTGTGTTGCCCAAACTGACCTCACACACCCAGGCCCAAGTCATCCTCCAGCCTCGCCTCCCAAGTTGCTGGGACTACAGGTGTGAACCACTGTGCCCTGGCTTTGAATCCACTTGGGAACTAGGCTGGAAGAATCTGCCTCTGCAAGCGGCCAGGTGAGCCTGCTTGCCTAGCCACAAAGGAGTGTGGCTGCCCCTGACCCCCTCCCCCCGCTTGCCCCCCACAGCGAGCCCCACGCCCGCTTCTACGCGGCCCAGATCGTCCTGACCTTCGAGTATCTGCACTCGCTGGACCTCATCTACCGGGACCTGAAGCCAGAGAACCTCCTCATCGACCAGCAGGGCTACATTCAGGTGCCCACCCAGCCCAGCCCCGCAGGGGGGGCGCCCTGGGGTCCCTGCCCCACCCAGCCACCCCCCCCTTCTTGTGCCCACAGGTGACAGACTTCGGCTTTGCCAAGCGTGTGAAAGGCCGTACCTGGACCTTGTGTGGGACCCCCGAATACTTGGCCCCGGAGATAATCCTGAGTAAAGTAGGCGCTCCCCCCCCTTCCCCTGCCCACCCTCCCTCCCTCCCCCGAGGCCCATGCCTCCCCCGTCACCCGCCACCCATCTCATCCAGGGCTACAACAAGGCGGTGGACTGGTGGGCGCTCGGGGTCCTCATCTACGAAATGGCCGCGGGGTACCCACCCTTCTTCGCTGACCAGCCCATCCAGATCTACGAGAAGATCGTCTCTGGGAAGGTGAGGCTGGGGGCACCCCCCACACCCACCCCCCCCAGCCGCAGTCAGAAGCATCCTGAAGTGGCTCCCGCAGGGCTGCCGGCCCGGCTGTCCTCTGCCAGGGTCCCATTCCCTGCTCAGTGCAGAGCCTTCCCGGGCCTCGCCCAGGCCTGAGGGGTGCTGCCCCCCAGGGACAGGGTGGGGAGGGGGCAACCCCAAGGGAGGGGGTGCAGGGAGGCCAAGGCTGGCCCGGCCTCCCCCCACACACACACACATACACATACACACAATACATACACATATACGCACATACACACATACACATACACAAACATATACACACACATACACATACACACAATACACACATACACACATATATACGTACACACACACATATACACACACATACACATATGCACACATACACAAACATATACACACATACACATACACACATGCACACAATACATACACATACACACATATATACGTACACACACACATATACACACACATATACGTATACACATATGCACATGCACACATACACACATACGTATACACACATACACACATATATATGCACACACATATACATACACACATGCACATACACACACATATATACACATACATATACACATACACACACATACATGCATATACACACATGCACGTGCACACGCCCACACACACACACATACACACGCACATGCCCGCGCACACACAGCATGCGCCCCCACCCCGGCCCCACCACCCCACTGGCCTTGAAACTCGGAACAAAGTTGGCCCGCCCCTCTGAGCCTCATCTTGAGCTTGTGGGAAGAAGTCGGGGCACTGCTGGGGGCGGGGGCTGTCGCCAGGCAGAGCAGGGGGGGGATGAGCACAGAGGCCGCTTTGTAGCCTCCTCCCTCCCCCGCCTTGCTATCTGCTGCACACCCCACTGGGGTGGCTGCTGTGCGCAGGCCCAGAGAGGTGAAGGGCCGAGGCCAAGGCCACACAGCGCGGGAGGCCAAGCAAGGACTTGCAGGCAGGGGACGCTGTGTGCGAGGCCTTGGGACCCCAGATTCCAGAAGAACTGAGCTGTGCAGAGGCTGGGGAGACGGGGAGGGGGGAGGCGAGGAAGGGTGTTCAAAAGCAGCCAGGAATGGAAGGTCCAAGCCTGAGGCTGCCCCCCCCCCCGCCATGCCTGGGTGGCCCGGCCACCCTCCCCACCCTTGCTTTCCTCCTTGCTGAGACTCAATACCTGCCTAACAGCACTGGTTCTCAACTGTCTCCCCGGACCTCCAAAGCCACAGGAAAGGCCCCACAGGCGCCTTCCGCGGGCGCGTTGATCTGTAGGACAGGGTCTCACTTCCTGCCACGCTCCTGGACCATCCGCCAGTTCCCCTTCCCACAAAACGGGGATGATGTCACCGTGACATCACCGTGCCCTGTGCCCGGTTGGGAAGAGGGGGCTCTGGAACATTCCTTTGGAGTACAATCCTCGCCAATCTAAATCTCCCAAGTCGCTGGGATTCTTGGCCCAGTCACCAGCACCAGCCAGAACAGGCCAGACTTTTTTTCTGGTGGTGGTGGTTTTGTTTGGGGTTCTGGCCTTTGCGCTCTGGGACTTGCGCGTGCCTGGCTGACCCTCTACCACTCAAGCCTCGCCTCCTATCCAGCTTTCCTTGTTTGATTTTACTCATTCAGATGGGAGTCGTGAACTTTCTTCCTGGGGTCTTCGGGTCTCAGCCTCTTTGTTTTGGTCGGTCATGGGGCTTGAACTCTGGGCCTGGGCGCTGTCCCTGCACTCTTCAGCCTGGGCTGGCTTTGAACCGTGACCCTCACATCTCCGCCTCCTGAGTCGCCAGGTTGAGCGGCGCGAGCCGTGGGCGCGCGGGGCTGCGCACAGGCCTGTCCCCGGAGCGGGGGGTCCAGCACCCCATGTGTCTGTGCCCCTCCAGGTGCGGTTCCCGTCCCACTTCAGCTCAGACCTGAAGGACCTGCTGCGCAACCTGCTGCAGGTGGACCTCACCAAGCGCTTCGGGAACCTCAAGAACGGGGTCAACGACATCAAGAACCACAAGTGGTTCGCCACCACTGACTGGATCGCCATCTACCAGAGGAAGGTGGGCCCCCCGCGCCCCAGGCAGAGCAGCCCTGGGGTTACCTGGCCATCCGCCGTGTCCGTGCCCCAAGGCCGCGCCCAGGCCGGCGGCCATTTTCACTTTGTGTGATGCTGCCAGCTCTCTGAGCCCCCGCCCGTCTTCTGGTCCCTCTCCAGGTAGAAGCCCCCTTCATACCAAAGTTCAAAGGCGCTGGGGACACGAGTAACTTCGACGACTATGAGGAGGAAGAGATCCGGATCTCCATCAATGAGAAGTGTGGCAAGGAGTTTTCTGAGTTTTAGGGGTGTGCCTGTACCCCCAGGGGTTCTCTTTTTCTTTCTTTTTTTTTCTTTGGTGGGGGGGTGGGAGGATTGGATTGAACAGCCAGAAGCCCCCAGAGTTCCTTGCATCTAACTTCACTCCCCCCACCTGGCCCTTCAGGGTTGGGGGAGCACGGGGGTCATTCAGATGGATGGAAACACCAGCTGCACCCCCTTCCCTTGGCCTCCCTGCCCCTCCCCCTCCCCAGCCCACTTCTGCCAGTTCCACATGAGTTTCTCAGCCCCAGTAGACCCCCTCGCCTTGCTGGTGTGTCCGAGGGCAGGATGAGGAGAGGGGACCCCAACTTTCCTCCGGCCCCCACCCCCACCCCCACCCAGCACAAGGATGAACGGATAGACTGGAAAGCCAACCTTCCCTTCCCAGCAGTCCTGCGGGAGGAAAGACTTGAGGACCGTGTTCAGTGGGCTGCTGGCTAGAATTGAAAGGAAAAGGAAAAAATTAAAATCTATTAAGTTCTACAGTGCCTCCTCCCTCCTCCCGCCCCGCCCCGCCCCGGCCCGCCCCCCAGGCTGCAAAAGCAGGAAGTGGGGTTCCAGCCGGCCCCAAGCTACAGCGCCCCCACCCCTGCTCCCAGGGGGGTCCTCTGCGAGCGCACCGGGGTGCGTCCCCCCGCCCCCCGGCCGTGTGGACCCCCGCTCCACAGCTTCCTCCACCCTCCAGCTATCGGGAGCCAAAGCAGCTGCCCCGGCCCTGCCAAAGACAAGTTTCTTCTCCCCTCCCCCCAACTAAAGATACGGGGAGCCCTAAGCCCAGGGCGCCCCCCGGCCCCGCCCAGCAGCAGACACCCCCGACCTCCATTTTATTCTCAGCCGGATTTTCATTCCCAGCCTCCCCTCCGCTCAGCTGGGACAGCGCGGCCCGCGGGCCGCGGCCTCCGCCCGGGGCTCGAGGCCCGGCTGGCGGGACAGCGGCCCGCGCTGACCGCCCGGCGGCCCGCGCGCCCGGCTCCGCCTCGCTGTCAGCCGTCCTCCCCCGCCCCAGGCCAGGGCATCTGTGCTGCTTTTCTCTCTTTTACGAGCAAAGTGGGGGGGCTGCCGGGGAGCCCCGAATCTGCCCCTTCCCACCCCCTCTCCAGCCCCGGAGGAGCGCGGGGCCGGCCGCCCGGGTGCGGGCTGCGAAGGACGAGGCTTCCTCCCGAACCGTGTGCTGTTGTAAACATATTTGAGAACTATTACCAATAAAGTTTTGTTTAAAAAAAAGTCGCCGGTGTTG